GGGTGAGAGGGAGGAAGAGAGAGGGGACCCTGTTCCCAGAGTGAATGGACTGTGTTCCTGAGAATGCTAGAGTGTCCCTTCTTTTCAGGGATTGGGGCGCACTCAGCTGTGGTCACACAGGACTTATCTCACAGTGTTTTGGAGAAAGGAGACCACAGTTCCAATCTTGGAATGGTTTGCTGGCCAGGGCACCTTTGAGCAAGTGACACAACACGTCTAGGTCGCAGCATCTGTAAGACAGAGTGGGCAGCTCTGCCCCACTGTTTACTCCTTGGCAAGGGTTTCCAGGGCCACACGCATTGCCATAGGAACAGCCCCGTTCTTAACCAGGTAGTTCTTAATCACTGATCTTCCTGGGTATACAAGAGTGCCCGTTGCCCAGCTCCTTTGCCATATGAGGCGCCTTCCCCCCCCCCCCCCCCCCCCCCCCCCCCCCCCCCCCCCCCCCCCCCCCCCCCCCCCCCCCCCCCCGACTCTGTCCAAAGTGGGAGAGGACCCAAGTCCCAGCCCTCCCCCTGTGGTCCAGATAACACACAAGGCAGTGGGGACCTGGCCTGGGGAAATGTCCCAGATAAACACCACCTGCCCCAGATAACCAGGGTCCTATCAGCTTGGCATCTTGTTCTCCAAACCACAGGCACTAGTGATAAAGGGATTGTGTATGGGGGGGGGGGGGGGGGTGATGGGGGGGGCTGCTGAGACTTTCACAGGGTTTTGTTGTTTGCAACAAATGTTAGGTCCCTTCAGGAACAAACAAGTCCTCTGATAACCAGGGCCTGCCAACTCACCTTCCCCTCCCTCTCTCATTTGCATCTTGAATCAAAAGCCAGACCGCCATTTGTCCCCTTTGCCCTCAAGGAGGACATGAAGGCATCAGAGGTGGGGTTTGGAAGTGGCAGACTGGCAAATTCCATGTAAAAGATGCACTCGCGCGCACGTGTGTGTGTGTGTGTGTGTGTGTGTGTGTGTGTGTGTGTGTGTGTTTCCTCAGGCACACTGATAATAACCAGCACTTACTGAGTACTTTCTAGGTATTTGATCCAATGCTGCCTTTGTTTGCGTTTTTTCAGGTAAGGCGGCTGAATCTCAAGATCAAAGCCACGGCTACTGGATACAACTAGAGCTTAGGCAGGAAGGCTCCAAACCCTGCTTTCCTTAGCCCCCAACTCTGTCCCCATATCTGGGTGTTCCTGGGGCTTGAGAAAGCCAGCATCTGCCCTCCCATGTCCAAGGACATTTGAGCCACTCCTGGAAGCTGTCTTTTGGGCCAAGGTTGGGATGGCTGTTTTCCTGGCTCACCTGCTCCTAATTCTTTACATCCTTGGTCACTTAGAGCAACGGTCTCATAAGACAGATGCAGAAATGGAAGCCAAGAGCGGAGATGAAACATGCCCCCAGCCCAGCAGCTAGTGAACGCTCGGTGAAAAACTGGGGCCCAGGGAAGGGCAATGACTTGCCAAAAGACTTCCTTGCTAATTAAAGCAGCTGTAAGAACAAGACCCAGGCCACCTATTTATTTCTATCACATTTACTCACTCGTGTGTGTGTGTGTGTGTGTGTGTGTGTGTGTGTGTGTGTGTGTGTGTGTGTGTGTGTGATATGTGGAGAAGACAACTTACAGGGGTCAGTTCTTGCCTTCAACCATGTGAGCCCCAGGGGTTGATTGAACTCAGGGCATCAGGTTTGGCGGCAAGCGCCTTTACCCAATTGAGCCATCTCACCTACCCAAACCTAGGCCTCTTGATTGGTAGTGTAGTTCCTAGGCTCTCAGTCTGGGGACAGATGCTCAGAAGCACAGACATAAAACTTGTGCGCATTTTCAAGTGTACATTCACACTGACACTCCTGTGACACCATGTGGGGACAACTCAGTCTGTCTCCCCCCATGCCAGGCCAGGAAGCAGTCCTGACCTGATTTGATCCGCTCCCCTCCCCTCTTTCCTCACCCAGGAGGTAGGGGCCCATCTGTAGAACAGCACCAAGCCATGGGGCGCCACGCTGTGCTTAAAAAGGCCACTTAATTTTTCATTCTTAAATGCTGAGATGCTCTTGTCTCCAGCTTCTCCCAGACCCCTTGGTGGAGATAGATGGGGGCATGGAACACAGTTATCAGAAAGATTAAGCCAGGACTTGTCATTTTTTTATATCACAGAGCAGTCAGCCCGACGAGTGATGTCCTCCACTCCGCCACGATGAGTCCAGAACCTTTAGTGCCAGTAGTAAAAAAGACTATAAAAAACACCATTGGAGAAAGGGTAATGATGAAATTTAACTGCTCCCGATCACACACCTGGGGTCTGCTCACCACGGAACCGGGGGTTCGGCCACATCATCCTTTACTGCCATGTCCTTGTCTGTGCGTCTAAGGTCCTTCCATTGAACCAGAACATTGTGTCCACTGCTGAGAGCTGGGGCTGTCTGCCCTGCTGCACCCCCACCGCAGGTGCTGAAGGAACCGGACTGACTCCATCCTTAGAGGCTGAAAAGGAGCCTCAGGGCCCAAATTTCCGGGGATCCTGCTACTTGGAAACAGGGTGGGGGCCAGCCTGCTGCTCTCTGCCCTATTACTTGCCTCCTTCAGTTTTTCTCTCCCACCTCCACTCTGCTCTTATGTGTTGGGTACCACGCTGTATACACAGCTACCACCTGGCTCTTCTTATTGATCTTAGGCATTTCCTCCCAACTCGGCCCCTCCTGACACTCAAGCCCATCCTATACTACCTCTGCATCTCTCCTAAGGCTCACTTCTAGCCACTGTGAAATTCTTCAAAACGGTTAGCTCTCCCCAGCCCTGGATTCTTGCACACATCATTGTGCCCCCTGCCTGGGACCTGTGTGTGCCTATCACCTTCCCATTGACAGGTCAAATGTTACCTCTTCTAGGAAGACCTCCCTGCCATTCCCTGCATCTGCTTCCTCCCCCAAGCTTCCTGCATTTCCCTACCGGATGTGCTTATTAAAGCTACTGTATAGAGGGCCTGAATAGAGGACACACTTTCGGGTCTTGAGATTTATCTGTAAATCAGATGAACTCCCTGATCTCCCTGAAGTTTATGTTCCAGTAGAGGCTGTCTTGCTCAACCTTCGTGGTCAATAAAGACACGGTTGAGTTTAAGCCTCATCTGTCAGGTAGGTGACATTACCACTAAGGGCCCTTGGGTCTTCCAGTGGGGGAGCAGCAGGATAAAGCTTCTCGACCGGGTCTCACTGCACAATGGTCCCTTCTCTCTGCCCAATCTGTCTCCAGCACACACTGGCCTCTTCCTATGTCCAGCAAGACCACATGCTCTGTCCACTGATGAACAAGAGGCCCAGCTTCCCCCCTTGGAGTCATTGCTCAAATGCTGTTGTCTCTGTACACCTTCGGGCCACCATTCTGCGTACCCACTGGCCTGCTGTGCACCCGCACTCTCCATCTACCGTTAGCAGAGCTGTTTCTCCCCAAGGACACAGATTTTTGCCTTTCCCATCTGTGTCTATCCGCGGGGTCTAGAACCAGTGCTCAGTTGCTGGTTCCATAAATATATATATATAAGAGACACAGGCTGCATGGGGCTGGATCCCTCCCGCCTGAAAGTCCTGGAAATCAGTTAACAAGGATGGACGTGGCTGCCTGAGAGAGAGGCACTTCTGACAGGGGTGTCCAGAAAAAAAATGCCCCCAACAACATGTGTCCCCTCCACCCCTCAGCACACGACCCTTTCCCAAGATTGGCCCTGTCACTCAAACCATGCCCCGACCCAGTAGATCCCAGAGGACACGCTGGAAGACGGGTATACAGTGTTAGACCCCGGCCCAGCCAGCCATCTCTCCTCAGTCAGAGAGAGCTGGGGTAGAGGAAGGGAGGAGCTGCAGGCTGAGACCACAGTGTCCGCAATGACCCGTCTCCCAGGACCCAGCTGTCAATCCAAGCCCCACCCAGGGACTCTGAGCAAGTCACCTTCCCTCTTCAGCACCCCCCTTCTCCCCATAAAATGAGAGCAGAGCTTTACAGGTGGCTCTCAAGTATGAAGAGCCTTTGAACATTTTTTTATTGCAGTGTCCTGTACATTCTGCAGCAGGCACACACCACGCTCGGTGATTTTTCATAGTTAACATGCTCATACAGCCAGCACCCTGACCGAGAGATAAACACCTCCAGCTCACCAGAAGCCTCCTTCTGGCCCTTTCCAGTTCTGAAGGTAAAGCTTATTCTAATGCCATAGATTTACTATTTTATTTATTGAGACAGGGTCACGTGTATCTCACGCTGGCCTCAAATTCAATATGGAGTCAAGGATGACCTTGAACTTCTGATTCCCTCACCTTCCTGCCCTGAGTGCTGGGGTTTGACTCAGCCCTGAGAAGGGAACCCAGGGCTTTGTGTGTGCTAGGCAAGCACTCTACCAACTGAGTCATGTCCCCAACCCAATACTACAGATGCTATCTAGTTTTTTTGTTGTTTGGTTTGCTTGCTTTACAAACTCAAGGAACGCTTTTAGTCTCTACAGAATGCTGCTCTGATTTTAGGACTGATGGCAGCCACCTTCCAAAGACTCTCATTTGCTGGTATTCTCGGCTTTGTTTAGTCTCCTCCCTCACAGAGTCGGGTGGTCTCTGTGACCGGTGAAGTAAAGAAGAGGTGTCTGTCTGTCCTCTAGCAAGTACATGAAGAGTGGCTTCTGCCCTGCTCTTGGGTCACCAGCCCACTGGGAGAGCCGGCCACCATGGTGTGAACCTTCCCGTGGAGACCACCACAAGAAGTGTGTACAGAAAAAGAGCAGCCCTCCCTCCCCTCCATACCTGTCCCTCCCCATCCCAGCACATGGCCTCCCCTAAAACTCACCCTCTCTCTAAACACAGAGGCTCTCTGCCTGAGGGCAGACTGCCCCCCCGACCCTGCCAACAGGCCAAGTGGGAAAACGCATCTTGGAAGTAGAAGCCCCAGTAGACACACACCAGTGATGTCCTCAGAGACCACCCAACCCAGCCGTTCCTGCATTCTTAACCCACGGAAACCATGAGGGGCAGTAAATGTTTATTGTTGTTTTAAGCTACTAACTTTTAGGATAATCTGTCATACAGTAATAGATAAGTAATACAGTATGCATTGATTGAGCAAGTACTTAATGAGCCGAACCGCCTAGGCACTGAGTAACTGTTAAAGGAATTCATTTAAAAAAAAATCACATATCTAGAGAGTTATAAGTATGTGTGTATATATATACAGACACATATGTATCCAAGCTGGCCTCAAATTTGTGATCCTCTTGCCACAGCCTCTTAAGGACTGGGATCATAGGTGTGCATCACCACACATGGATTCCTTTTAAAAATCACCTTTCTGAGTCGGGCGGGCGGTGGTAGCACACGCCTTTAATCCCAGCATTCAGGAGGCAGAGGCAGGCAGATCTCTGTTCAAGGCCAGCCTGGTCTACAGAGTGAGTCCCAGGACAGCCAGAGCTACATGAGAAACCCTGTCTCGAAAAACAACAAAAAAACAAAGCATAACAAAAATCTCCTTTCTGGAATCTCCTTACGCTTGAAAAGAAGAGCTTTCTCCTTGGTCCTGACAAGGACTCAGTGCAGGCAGAGGCTTAGCAATAGCTTGAAGGCCCTGTGTAGGGGCTGGGGTACCCAGGTCGGGGTCATGGTGGGGAAGTCGTGTTGAGTCAGCTGTACTCTCTGGCTCTTTTCCTACTCAAATTCTGGAACCAGAGAGCGGAGCCTGGCTCTAGTCCTTGTTCCTCATCACTGGGCAACAGCATGCGACAGTGAGGGAGTCAGGGTTTGCGTCTGAGTAGGCTTGTGTTCAAACCCTGACGCTGCCCTTTCCAGATCTGTTCAAGCTCAGACGAACAGCTGCTCTTCTCTCCGAGGAGTCAGTTTTCTCCCGGAAGGAATCTGAGAACAGAGACCGAGATCACAGAAAGTTGTGTGCCTGCTCCTAACTGGGACTCCAGAAATAACCAAGAGACTGGGCAGCTGTGATTATCAACCCACGGGCAGCCTGGGCACTCTCAGGGCGCCAGGGGACCAGTGTTCCCCTCTTACATAGGCCTCACGTCGCTCCCCCACATGCTGCTGTGGCCCCTCCGAAGCTTTTCTGCACCCCCAACAGCAGGTCCGGAGGGCCAGGTGAGCATATGGCCACATGACGGCTCTTGGTGGGAGCGTGGGAGCAGGCCTGTTTCCACTTCCTCGTTAGCGTCGCCCGGGGGCTGCTCTCTCCTTAGCAAGGCCTGGATAACGAAGGCCACAGCCTATTAATTGCGGTGACAGTGATAAAGGAAGAGGGGGAGGCTGCTATTTGTCTTGCTCGTAACCTCTCGCATCATTCCAAGATGAATGAAAACTCATTTTCTGCTTTGATTTGGTGTAATTTCTCTGGCCCCCTGGGCCGCGTTGGGGGGGTGGGGCGGGACGACTCACAGCCTCCCGTTGAGAAGGAGTTGGGGGAGGAGAAGGTAGGGTTAGAGGTCACGGAAGGAGGAGGCCTGCCCTACCAGCGAACCAAGAACCTATGGGGGAGCTGTTGGGACCCTCAGTTATTAACATGGACCGTATGAGGCTCCTGCAGGAGCTGACTGCATTCATAAACGAACTCTGCCAAAGAGAGACTCAGCCACCCATTTCACAGATGAGACAATAGAGGTAGAGAGGAGATAGATTATTCAAGATCACAGAGCCAGGGAGACGAAAGCCCAGCTTCAACACAGAGGAAGAGTTGGTCCAGGATTGTCACTGACAATCTGGTTTTTTTTTTTTTTTAATCTATCACCCAAAGCATTCACCCTATCCGGATGGACAAATAAATGATCGAGCAGCGCATTCTACAGAGAAGTGGACGTTGAAGGAGCAAGTTCCCACCACGGGCTCATCCATTCCCCTCCAAGGAACAGGAAAGGGAGGCGGGCGAGAGGCTGGAGGAAGGAAATAAGCTTTTCTAGCCTTCGTGCCCACACTGACCAGGGAGGGCCTCGTTAAAAATGACCCATTTGTAAGGTGGAGCCTTCGGCTGCCTTGCTGGCCGTGGGGTGGATGGAGGGAGAGGGAGGCTGTGGAGAAGGGCTCCGCATGTGGTACTTCCCCTGTTTGTAGACACCGGGAGCAAGCCAGCAGCCCTGGCAATCTGTGCTGCTTGGTCCCAGATCCTCATCTTTGTCCCTGCAAACCAATGATCCAAAGCCATCTACTTGTGAGTCCCTACAAAACCCTGCCTGGCCATTTAATGTAAATCTGAGTTCCCTCTCATAGCCCAGAGGTCCCACGAGGCCCAGGAAATCGAAAAGGCCTGGACCCGGTGACCTCTCTGTCAAGGTGATCCCAGAGCAACTCCGTGGATGGAGAAGAGGATGAGTTGTCCCTATGATAAGAAGGGGAGGGGGCGCTCAAATAGGCTTCACACGGCATCCATTGGGACTTCCGGGCACAGGGGAGGGACTGGCGTTGGAGGGATGCCCAGCATGAATAAGAATATGGGCTCTAGCTGGGCGGTGGTGGCGCACGCCTTTAATCCCAGCACTCGGGAGGCAGAGCCAGGTGGATCTCTGTGAGTTCGAGGCCAGCCTGGTCTCCAAAGCGAGTTCCAGGAAAGGCGCAAAGCTACACAGAGAAACCCTGTCTCGAAAAACCAAAAAAAAAAAAGAATATGGGCTCTGAATCCAGGCTGCCTGGCATGTGCTGCAGCTCTGCCCTTGGCCACCATGTAGCCCAGGGTGAGTCGATGTGCCTCTCTGGGCCTCACTTGTGTCTGAGGTGGAAGAGCAATAGTGTCTCCCTCCTTACGTAAAGCACAGGGAGCGGGTGTGCTCTGAGAGGCCGGGCACCAGGCTGGGAAGGGCTGCTCTAGGGTCAGGATGTATGTGAGAAATGAGACAGCTGACTCAAGCGTGTCCCCCCACTCCCCTCCCAGCAATGTCCTCCCATCTGCCCGATCTGAATTGCAAATGGCCTTCCCTTTCACTGCAGCCCCAGCAGGAGACAGCTGAGTCCAGAGATGCATCCCTGCCCCAACAGGGCGCCCATGGCCTTGCTCTGTCTCCGAAGGTCTGCAGGAGGAGCCCGCCGACCAAGACCCCAGGCTAGCATCTTGAGGAACAGAAGCAAGTCGACTCAGAGCCAGTCTGCCTGGCATCCCAGGCCTTCCCAGCTCGGTCTGGCCATTATTCTCTGCTCCTGACCCCACCCCTTCACCATAGGCCTAGCCTGTGTCTTAGGCAAGCATGAGAAAGGCAAGTAACCCTTGGTCCACGCTCACAACACTTACATGTGCCGGGCCCTGGGTGCCAGGCAGGCCACAGGCCTCGTCTTTCCACAGCCTGGGTTCACAGGTACCTGCTGTTGACAGTCCCATTCCCCAGACTGAGCCTTTGTAGAGGTCCATCTACAAAGCACCCACTAGGCGCGACCCAGAGATAACAATAAAGATAATAAAAATTGCATCATAGAAAGTGACAGTGTGGACACCCTTCCTGTCATGTCCTGAGTTCCCAGCGGGCCAGATGTCCTCTTGCAGTGCTCCACTCCTCTCAGCAGCCCAGCAAGGCAGTTCTTATTATTGCCACTTCATGGAGACTCCACTGAAGCTGGGGCGCCTGAGTGTCTAAAGTCACACAGATCTCAAGCACCCAAGTAAGAACCTGGGCCGCTCCTGTCTTCCCCTGAGTAGCAACATAACAGCAATGACTCTCTCCGGCATTTATTGGTTCCTTTCCTGTGGCCAGTCTGGTAAGCACTCGAAATGACAAGGTGACCCAGCTGTCAGCATCATTCTGTCTTGCCGATGGGGAACGTGAAGCTCGGAGTTTGCGTAAACTGCTTAGGATGAAGCATTCAGGATGTAGTATAGCCAGGATCCAGACCCAGATCCTCTGACCTCACTCACACCTTCTAGTTCTCCACAAGAGGCTGTCTTTGCCTTGTGAGTCATTCGTGAATGGGGACCTTGCAAGAGCATCTTTCTGAAGCTCCTCCAGTCTCCTGTTATCAGGCTTCCCATTGTAGTTGGGGTTACTCTGCTTGATAGAGGCACTGTCCTGAGACTCTATCCATGGTGGAGGCAGCCAGCTGTCCACCAACAGTTCATCTCCCCATCCCAAGGAGACAAGTATCACTGGAAGGGACGGTTACATCAGGCCAAAAATTCCCTCCAAGTCCTTTGCAATTGCCAGAGGCTGGGCAAGGATGTCTCACCAAATGCCTGGGAGCAGAATGGAAGGGCAGAGCTCTGGCCAAGGAGACTGAGAAGTGACTATGCTTCTCTACCTTCTTCCATCCCCTGTCCAGTAGCTGGGACAGATTCCCAGGACCTAGAGCTGGTGATAAACCAAAATTAGTTTCTGCACTTCCTGTGTTGAAACCCTAACCCCAAGTGATGGTATCTGAAGGTAGGCACTCTGGGAGATAAGGAGGGTGGGGCTCCATGACTCAATGGGATTGACGCCTGTAGACAGGAGACAGTGGCCCCACCCAACCACGCCAGGTGAGGATATGAGGAAGAGATACCCACCTAAAAACCAAGAAATGGGCCCTCACCGAGAATCGGAATCTGTTTCGTATTTCTTACAAGCTTATCTCCCTGAACAACAGTCTAAACTCTTCAAGGCTCACAAGGCCTTTCACAATCTGGGTTCTGTGCCCGCTCCAGGCTCATCCTTCAACACTGTCCCCACCACTTGTAAGATAATCTATGTAATAAATTTCATCAATCCCCATTACAGATATTCTTCAAACATATGTGTGTTTATACATGTTGTGTCTCTTTAGGAAACTCCTACTCACTCTTCAAGACTTATTTTTACATAGTATCTCATTGAAACCTTCCTTGACGTACCATAGGAGAGGAATCTATGCTCACAGATACCCTGACTATTGTACATATCTTAGTACACTAGAAGTACTTGTTCCTATCTACAATTCTCTGGCCAGACCATGGACTCCTCTAGGGGTGAACTTATCAATTTTTATATCATCAGCTACATCACAGAAGGTTCTCTGCAAACAGTATGGGCTGTCCAGTTGATGTCCCAGCTCAGTAATATTAGCCTCAAGTGTAAATCCCCCATAAAGATGATGCCAGGAAACCTGTTTTCTGCTCTCCCAGAGAAAATGATACAAACCCAAGGACCTCCTGTATCTCTCTGGTCCAAAGTTCCTAAAACTGCTTCTTCATGGTCTGAACCCCGGCGGTGCCTTGGGGCTTGTTTCTAAGACGGGAGAAACTAAAGAAACAAGGCAAGACTATACTTAAACTGACTTGGTCACCTGCTTCAAGGTTCACTGGGAGCAGAAGGCCTCTGTCTCTTCCTGGGTAATCCAGGGTTACCTCTAGGGTTAGAAAGGTCTAACTGGTCCTAACTGGGCATGGTGGTGCATGCTTGTAATTCCAGCATTGGGGGGTGGGGGTTGGGGGTAGGGGGTACGGTCAAGGGCTCAAGGCCAGCTTGGGCTGCATGACACCTCGTCCCCACCTTGCAAAAAGTCCCAAACTAGAGACAAGGGAGATGCCTCAATCAGTAAAGTGCTTTGCGTTCCAAACGTAGGGACCTGGGCTAGATTCCAGGCACCCATATGGAAGCATATAATTCCAGAGCTGAGGAGGCAGAGATAGGAAGGTACCTGGGGCTCACCTACAAGCCAGTCTTACTCAATCAGTGAGCTCCAGGATCATCGAGCAACCTTGTCTCAAACCCAAGGTGAAGAGCAATTGAAGAAGACACTGATGTCAACCTCTGATCTACACACACACACACACACACACACACACACACACACGTGTACATGCCTGTAACACACATGTACATACACTAACATGTACATCTTTAAAAAACTTTAAATTAAAAATAATACCAAACCCAAACCAAGTTCTGGTCTTGCTGCTCACCATGGGACTTGTTCAAGTCCCCTGGTTAAATGGGAGGACATCACTTAACTCACAGGATTGCTGTGAAAGCTTCGAGCATCCCCTACTGGGTCTGTCTCTACTGCTCTCTTTAGACTAGGGATCCAGCCAGGGCCTCACACATGCTAGGCAAGTGCTCTCCCCTGAGGTGCACCTGCAGCCCAGGATTGACATGTTCTAACGTGACAAGGGGGCTCTTAGCCAGGGCCTGGGGACCAGAGCATCTGCCCTTCTGTCTTCCTCATCCTGGAGCTATCTTAGTGGGTCCCCCGCCTCTCTGAGAATCTTGACTGTTTTTGCAATGAGTTCATACTGGAAATATAGATATTTATTTTTGTCACCAAGTTTTGGACATGGATATAGCAGAACCACTTGGGGTTTTAAAGCAAATGGAAGGTCTCGGACCTGAAGAGATGGGACAGGGGCCTGCAAGGAGGGGAAAAATCGAAGAAAGGAAATCAGACTAACGCAGGGAGAAGAGAACCCAGAACCAGAGACCAAGCACAAAGGGACACAAGAGAGACAGAAAGAGATGGGAATGGGGAGCTGGAGGGAGGGAGTGAAGCAGCCGGGAGGAAAGGCCAGCCCCAGGAAGCAGGAGAGAAGCAGAGTCCTGGGCAGTCCTGGAAGGACAGAGACTACGGGGATGAAGGCCCCACCCAGCCCTCAGCTGAGCTTGACTTCAGTTCAACCCCAGTGCTCTGCTGCCGACAGAGAAAAGCCCCTTCTCCCACAGCCGGCTGAATTTGATATTCAATCAATGAAGATTAACTGGCCCAAGGTAAGGGGGCTTTCACATCCGTAAGGAAGTCAAATACGATTATGCAGATGAGAAAATTATCCTAAGATGAGGAGCTCCACTATATGATAATTACGAGAGCGAGTGGACTCCCACACTGATTAGCATATCTCTAAGACCAGACTGATGATGGGGGAGGCGGGGATGAGCAGAGGTGACAGGAATCCCACCCATAGAAGTTGGCCAGGGACATCTGGTCCCTGATGTCCTTGTCCCGAGAAGAGGACGCTTTGCTTCAGATACTGAGAACCTAGTGAAAGCCATGATCCTGATGCACCCATGGTCACTCCCTGGACCAGCTGGACCTTATCTCACCGGAGAGTGGTTCCTTAGACCCAGGCTTCTAGGGGAGGCAGAGGCTGCTGGCCTCTGGACTCAGCTTGGAGGGCCCCTGAGGGGTTCTCAGCCCTTGTGCACCTTAGAGTTCCCAGAGAGTATTAAAACTTACGGGTGCCTGGGGTACACCCCAAACCAACTAAATTAGGATCTCTGCAGAAGATTCTAGATGCTGTTTGTAGCTAATTCTAGCTGGGTATGGTGACTCACGCCTGTAATTCCAGCACTTGTAGCAGCTAAGACAGGAAGATCCTGAATTCAAGGCTACAGCCTTGGCCAGCCAGAGCTGTAAGAAAAGACCTGTTTTGGTTGTTGTTGTTTTATTTTTTAAAAAGTATATACACAGGAAGAAAATTCTAAGGCACAGGTAGTGTTGAAAGCCCCTGCCACGAACAATGCATAGCATCCTAAGTGCGTACCTCTATTACAAGTCCTCCAAGACCCACAGGTCGAAAGCCTCAGGAAGCCATAGACCTTGTCTGGGACCAGGTAGGAGTCTTGCAAGAAGTCAGAGAAGAGCGGAGCGTGGAGAGAGTAACCCGAAGTGGGGCCAGTCGAAGTCTGCGGGGGAGGTGTGGCGGAACTGCTAACATCAGCTCTTGGGTATTAGATGTACTGTGTAGCCTGCTTGCTTATCTTCGCCGACCCCTCAGCCGAGAGGGCATCTTCATTTGACACTAGAGGCAAGTGGCTCGGAGGCAAAGGGATTTGCCCACTGCTGCAGTCAGTAGGTCCCCAAGCTCTCTCCACTAGTAGGCTTCACCTCCTACCCCCCTGGGGAGAAGGCCTAGGGGCTCTGTACCCAAGACAGTTACAGGCTAGCTTGGGGCTCTCCAGTCTGCCTGATCTAGGGGTTCCGCTTTGTCTGCTGCGCTTATAGACCACCTGGGGTGGCAGAGAGAAGAGAGCCAGGGCTTGGAAGTCAAAAGACTGCGTGGAATCCCTGTCTCTTATTTTGTGAACTTGAACAAGTCATTGCCCTCTTTGGCCAATAGGGACAAAGAGGCCAAGTTCAGCCAACGGACTGAGACAAGGTCTGCGTCCTGTGAAGACCTGGAGTTGGCTGAGCTCAGTGAAGAATTAAGCCCTGGGCTGGGAAGCTGGATCAATTAGTGAAACACTTTTTTTCAGAATCAGGAGACCCTGAGTTCAATTCCCAGGGCCCGTGTGAAAGCCAGGAGAGGCTGTGCACACCTGTAAGCCCAGCACTGGAGAGACTGAGATAGCCAATGCCTGGGCTGTGGCCAACCTAGTCTAATAGGTAAGTTCCAGTTTCAATGAGAGACCCTGTCTCAAAAAACAGGGCTCCCGAGGAACAACACTTGAGGTTGACCTCTGACCTCCACATGTCCATGTGCACACATGCACACATAAATAGATGATAAAATAATCTTTGAAAAACAGGATAAAACCCTTCCGACCTCCCTTCCCTCTCTGTGAACACACATCACTGTGAACCTCAACCCCACTCATTCCCTTGAGCTGCCAGTCACCTTAACAATCAGAAACCTGGAGTCAGTGTGGCTGGGCGCCCAGAGGTGAGGGGCCCCTACCCCTTACTCTAGATGTTCCTATTTCAACATCATCTCTTGGGAGCTCCCTTGCACAGCCAATTAAAAAGAAGAATGAGGAATCACAGGAAAGAAAGGGCAAGGGTATACATTGGTAGAAGGGAGATGCTCCCAAGTCTCTATGAATATCTACCCTGTGCCTGAGACTCTGACTTCTCCGTCTCTGTGTGTGCCCTGTACTTGTCTGAATACTGCATGTGTGCATAAACTAACACTGTTGTAGAGTTATGTGTGCTTACCTGTGTGTGATGCACATGAAGGCCTAGGTGTATGTGTCAGCCAGGGTACCATCTGCATTCATGAGTGTGTAGGTAAGCGTGTGTTAGAGGGATTTGTGGCTGGGTTAGTGAGTCTGGGTTGGGTGGCTGTGTATCAGTGAGGTTGGGTGTATCTGTGTTTAGATGGGCTTGCAAGTATCTGTATACACCACTACCTGTATCTGTGTAGCATGCCAGTGGGTATGTCAGACTATGTGCGTGTACGTGTATGTATGTGCTCCAGTATAATGTATATGTGTGGAAGATGGGTATTCTATGTGAGACCGGGTAAGAATGTAGTAACATGTGGGGTGTATTTGTGTATTTGTTTGTTAGGCTGTGTGTGTGTGTGTGTGTGTGTGTGTGTGTGTGTGTGTGTGTTGGGTTATCAGTATAAGGAGTATGTGTGTGGGGGGGTGTATGACTCTGTGGATCTGGATGAGTATCTTTCATGGGTGAAAACCCTGTGTTTCTCAGGACCAGGCAGAGGGATCCAATTACTCTCTCCAAGAGACTATCAGTGTCTGTTAGGTAGGGCATATGCCTGTATGGGGTGTGCCCATGTGGAGTGTGTGTGTGTGTGTGTGTGTGTGTGTGTGTGTGTGTGAGAGAGAGAGAGAGAGAGAGAGAGAGAGAGAGAGAGAGAGAGAGAGAGAGAGAGAGAGAGAGAGAGAGTGTGCTCGGGCACACACACATACACACGAGTATGGATGCATCTGCAGATCTGCGTATCTGTGAGGGGCTGGACCTCTCTAGCTTGGCTGGGCCCTGGCACTGTAAATCCATCAACTCCACATGATTTTGTCAGTGCTGACAGCTAACTTCAACATGACGACAAATCTGGCCCCAGAGGATATTAAGCAAAGACACATGAGCCTATAATTTTCTGCTTCCACGTGTGAGATGCTATAATAATCAAAAGAAAATGAGTTTCTAACTACCCCAGCTCTTTGTGCTGCCGCCTTCATGCCGGCTGCACTAATTGAATCACCCAGCACCACTGTATCAATGGTAACTTGGGTATTGGGGGGTAATCAGGCGTGCGGGGGGGACCAGCTTGGAGAGGTGCAGGGGCTTTTGTGAAGGTCCCATCTGCCTCATGCACCAAAGCTGCGGGCCGCCTGCCTTTGACTGGACAAGAGAGTGACTGAAGGGCAGGGGAGGGACCGAGAGGGGACACTGGGGGAGAAGCACCTGTGCCCAGACGCTGCTGCGGCTGCTGCCGTCTGGGTCCTGGCTCTCACACACAGTGTGGGATCTGGACTTTGGAAGTAAGCTTACCTGGAGTCATTCCTGGCCCATAGCCCTTCATGCCATTTACCCTCTGGGATGTGTACAAAATGGCACGGCTATCCACCTCATGGGGCACTGAGGACCAGTGGGGTACAGCAATCAAGCTATCCACCTCTGAGCTGTGCTCTGGAGAGTAGACATGTGGAAGCTGTGATGAATATTTCCCCCATTGTTGGCACCTTATTCTGTTTGCTGGTCTCCACAGTGTGTGACAGGGCCCATGATCCCATTTTCTATCTGAAGAGACTGAGGCTCTGAGAGATGCGGGGACTTGGCCACGTAAGAGGCATGCAGTCTATATATACACTAATATAGGGGATGATGAGAAAGGAGGAGGAAAATGCCCCCCCCCGGTGACGTCTAGGGGTCCCTCCAACAGTCCTGCGGCTCCATAAATATTCGTCATTTCCCTGAGTGCCATTTGCCTGTGACAGCCCATCAACGGCTGTGCCTCTCTCACAATAAGTTTATGAGGAGGAGACACAATTATTATCTCACGAGTGAGCAACCTGAAGCCCAGAGAGGTTAGGTAACTTGCCCAAGGTCACGTTGCTAGTAAGTTGTCTCCACACTCCTCATTTCAAATCCGTGTCTATCTGGTTTATCTGTTCTTCTCAGAGATTCAGCTGTATCCTACGTCCCTCTTGGCCTCTGAAAAAAATCTTCTAAACTAAAGCCTTCATTTGTCTCTAGGAGACAGCTTCTCTCAGCCTGGATCATTCCCTCTGAAATGAGGTTCCCGAACAGGATGGAAATTCCTCCGTTCCCAGCCCCACTGTGCATCCCATAGTAATGTAGGAGATTAAGGAGCTTGGTGGCCAGCCAGCTGAGGCAAAGCGGGGGGCTTCAGGCTCCTTCAGTGAGAGACCCTGTCTCAAAAAACAAAGTGGACAATGACAGAGGAAGACACTGACATCCTGGTCTAGCCTTCTCCTGGGTGCTCACAGGTGTAGCACCCACAAACGTGTGTGTGCATACAGCACACACACACACACACACACACACACACACACACACACACACACACAGACACAAAACAAACCAACCAACACCCATCACCCCTATATCAATCAGTCTCTAGCTCAGGCCTCCATTCAGACAGGAAGTCTTCATGGAGCAACTGTTGTATGCCTGGAGCTGAGTGGAGAGCTGGGGATTTCAAAAGGAAATTCCTATAATGCCTCCATTTTGTATCGCACATTTTGGAACAGCACAAAGGGCATAGGCTTTGGAGTCAGGGAGATCTGGGCTCTGATCTTAGCACTGTCACTGACTAACTGGGGGCCCTTAGACTTACTGCTGAACAGCTCTGTGATGTTCAGTTTCTGACACTGGAGAATGGGGTCATGGTACCCCTAGGAAGAGGAAAAAGGCCAGGGTATCTTTTCTCACTGCTCCTAGTCACCTTGTACTAGAGATCCTGGTCAACTCAATAAGACAAGAAAAAGAAACAAAATACTGGGAAAGAATTTAAAAATCATTATAGAAAGCATGATCCCCTTCATAAAAAATAAAATAAAATAAAGCCAGCCCAAAACAAATTTTTTTAAAAAGACACCAGGGCTCTGAAGTTTAGCAAGATTGCAGGGCCAGAGATCAATACACCAAAACTTTGGCGTCAATTTCTACATGCTGACAATAAACAATTGGAAATTGAAATAGAAATAGGGGCATCGATCCCATTTTACAAGCTTGCTGGAAGGAGTAACAGGAAGTCGTACTTATCTAGAAGTTTCAGGCTATATGCCTGCTGGTGTCCTTTCCTGCAAGAGAGAAGAGGCAAGAAAAGACCCACACTCAACGCCCATCTCCTCCCACCTGCTACAACCACAGAAAGGGGGCCTTTCTGATATGTCCTCAATATTTAGTTACAGATCTTAAGAATTTACTCCCACATTTAGGGAACCAGGAAGTAGGAAAGTAGATCATCAAATCTGGAGCTCCTTGGGAAATGTTTTAGCATGAGCACAGGCATGCTGTCCATCTTGGGAGCCGCCCAGGGATAGAGCTGAGCCCTGGCTTGTCTAAGCTGCTGTTTTCCTTCTACTCACCCTTATCTTAACATCTCTCTGTACTCCTGCAGATCTTAATCCGGTCACAGTCCAGATCACACCACAAGAAACCAAAATGGCTTCCCAAAGCACTGACTGGTTGGCAATGAAGCCTTTACCCTACTCTTGAACAGGCTCAAGATTATACTCCACAGCAGCTAGTGAAACTCTCTAATACCCTCTTCAGCCAGCTCCACACACCCCAAGTCTCACAGCTCACTACTCCCTACTCCCCCTTTCCCTTTATTTCTCCTAAAATTCCATCTCTGACCTCCTGTCTCCAGAAGGATCAGCTATTCTGCTCCAACTTTGGTTACTAACTCTGTGTTTGCTCTTGGCTGAAGCTCCAACTCCGTATCTGCCTACAATCACCTGATGACCCGGGTGTGGGAACACGCAAGAAGAAGGGCCATCAACCTCGCCACCAGGTCCTGCCTCATCTCAGCCTTGTAGAAGGGAAAACAAAGGCAGAGGCCATACCCACCACACCGTAGTGACACTCCTCAAAGGTGCCCAGAAACACAGCAGATGCAGCCAGGGAATGGGGAAGGGCTGTGATACTGAGCCAGGGCTTGAAGAACCTGTAGGTAGTCACCTGAGAGGGGACACAGAGGAAGAAAAAGGAGTGAGTACTTGCCCCTTGTGTACCGGCACACTCTGTTCACTGTCTGTCTTACCAACCTTCATCCCCAAAGTCTTGAGAGGTGGCGGTCCCTTAGTCTTAACATTTTTGCTGAGTTACAAGAGGAAAATGTATTTGAAAAGCTCTCTCAGGGAGGCAGAGCCAGGTGGATCTCTGTGAGTTTGAGGCCAGCCTGGGCTACCAAGTGAGTTCCAGGAAAGGCGCAAAGCTACACAGAGAAACCCTGTCTCAAAAAAACAAAAAAACAAAAACAACAAAAAAAAAGAATTCTTTCTCACTTTTCCTTAATAAATCGACTTAGTCCTTGTCTGCATCTCCATATTCTTCTTGGGTGTGAGATGATGGACTCGCAAGCCCCTGACTCAGGGTGGCTTTGGTGGTCATTGATTATCTGGGACCCTGAATTAGGCTCACCAAGAGTCAGAAAGAGCTTCATCATACTCAACGAGCCTACATCCTTGGGAGGTCCCACCGAGAGTTGAGAAACATCAGCCAAAAACCTAATCATGCTTCCCTTGTCACTCTGGCTTTCTTTCCTGACCCCTAAAGTTCCCCCAAGCCATCCACCATAGAGTTACTTGTGGATCTCCATTGCTGCCTTTCTTGGACCCTAACTCAACGGGCATGGCCTTTTCTCTCTTGCTCTTCTTCATCTCCTGCATCCCAGCAGCTTCTGGGATCTTAAACAGGCCTCCCCTGTTGTTTTCTCTTTCAAAGGCCCATGAAATGGTCCTCAAGTTTCAAAAACCTCTGCCAGAGAGTAGCTAGCAAGGGTGGGACTTGAACACTTGCCTCTCTGCTTTCAAAGCCCTTACTGAGGACAGAGTGAGCGAAGGGGGGAGAACGTCACATGGTTTCCATTGGGAGGTAGGTGGAATAGGAGACTGATTTAGGGGGACATCTGAGTAAGTAGGATCAGGCACAGAACTGTGTGTAGAACATTCTGCTTTTGGGGAAAGGTGGACATACTGTATGTAGTCGGTGGGTTTTTTTTGCATGGAAGACCTCTCAGGAAAAAGGTGGGGAGGTGGGCAACGCTTTAGAAGGAGGCTTTGGGCAGGGGTTGATAGAGATGTTTCACACTCCCTTTTCCTCTTCGGGAAATTTCAGTCATCAGAGTGTGCTGCTGCTGATTCATAAAGTCACCAAATTGTCCTAGAAAGAAAACATGTCAGCATCGCACCATAACATTCAGACTCAGAATCAAACAGTCCCAGCCATGAGCACACACTTGAGGTCATCTCAGGGGTCTGGACTGTGGTCGGTCTTAAGGCTGGGGTCTGGGAGAAATGGTTGTATAGGGAAGTCGGCCTAAGTCAGTGTAAGCCTCTGTGAGCCCATGACCACGGGCACGCTCCCTCTCTCCTCTGATGGGCGAGGGGCCGTTAGACGAGGAGTGTGGCTTCAGGAGAGATGTCTGAGATGGGACAGGACATTTGGGCAGTTGGGGCCGATTTGTCACCATTTTCACGGACAGACTTGAGAATTAAGTGGCATGAAATTGAGCACAGACCAGGTTCCCCCCAGAGACGGGCCGCCCTGCCCAGAAGGAGAGAATGGAAAGGGGCAGGAGTGGGAGGGGTGGCCAGCCATGCTCAGCTGCTCCTGAGTGCAGATGGAGGAGAATAGAGGGGGGCTGGGCTGGGCTCCTCCTCCCGAACCTCTGCCCTCTGTTCTCAAACAAGCGGAGGCTCTGTTAGACCCCAGCTCCCGTCTGAGCCAGGACGGGCTCCCTCAAGCCCAAGTGCCCTTAGAAGTCAAGGTTGGAGATAGCAGCCTCATTCTGGGAATCACTTAGACCTTGCTGATTCTTATCTCGGCATCTCTCACCACTTTTCCCCGGAATAGGGAGAAAAGGAGGCTGAGCGTCTGGCCCTGACTGGGGTATAGGGTGGGGGAAGGAAGAGGTGAAGACGCAAGCTTTCCTGCTGGGAAGAGAAGAGTGGGTTAGAGTGTGTGTAGGGGAGAATGGCAGCCTGGGGTTCCAGCTTGGGTTCCAGTTTGGCTTGGTCCTCTTTTGAACCTCCATCTGTTCATCTGTCATAATAATGGTGACAGCCACCTGCTGGGGTTGTTTTCTAAGCACCTTGAGTACTTTGCAGCAATCCATGTGATTGGATGATGTCCTTTCAGGCAGCACTGTTATCAGTTACTTCCCATTTTGCAGATGAGGGAACAGATCAGCCAGCCAGTGAGTGACCCAGGCAAGACTTGCTGTTTCACAGTCGGCTACCTCAGGGAGCAGAGAGGAGTCAATGAGATATGGATATGTAAGTTTCTCACACAGTACATGTGTGACCAGTGTCACCTGCTGTCAAGTGCTGCTCAACTTGTTTCATAGTGAGGGGACTGGAGGCTCAAAGGCAAAAAAGGTGTGAACTTGATGGACCAGTCCAGAGCCTGTAGTGCGCACTCTCACAGAATTGTCAGGGATAGAAAAGCAGCCCAGAAAGGAAAGGGAAGTGTACAAGGTCAATTGCAAGTGATTGCACAAGGTTGCTTATGTGGGACTAGGATTCAATGCTCTCCAGGCTCCTGAGGGTACTCCCTCCAGCTTTGGGGAGAGCATTTTACTTTACTCTTCCAGAAAGAAAGGTACCCCAACATGCACTGGCAGAAGTGAGACCCACCACAGGCTGGGTAGGGATGACAGGAGAAAACAGCCTCAATCTGCCATCCTGGCCACCTCCTCCTAGGCAGAGCTTTGCCCTACAATTAGGAAGGATGTGTTTGCCTCAGCGCCGGGCCCAACCAGCCCATGAAAGTCACGAAAGAGCCCCGCAGGTGGCCAGGGGGAGGACAGGCCCCATGGTGTTTAATAGGACCTAATCTCTGTCGGTGTTGTCGGAAATGAAAATGAAAAACAGCCACGATTTTGTGGTTTAAAAATTAGCATGTGTGCCTACATCGTAAGCCCCTGGCCTGCATTACCATACAGATTTATCCCCGGCCCAGCACGCGGCCAAAATATGTAATTACACACAGGCTCGGGGTGGAAAAGTTGCCCTTCTGTTTGCTATCTATATAATATGGGATTTTTCAAAGGAAACGCTAGAGCAAGGCCTTGGTGAGGGACCCACTTCACTTGGGATGCTGCCCATGGACTCTGGGGGAGGGGCCTCAGCCCCATCTGCAGCAAGTGATACGGTGACACATGGACTGTCTGACTAAAGAGCTGTCTCCTGAGCTGGAGGATGGAGGACCAGGGATGGCAAGCATTGTCATTGGATATTGTGTTCTCATACACAGTCATGTGTCACTTGGATGGCACATATTCTGAGAAATCTGCTCTTTGGCAACTTCTTCATCATGTGGCCCTTGTAAACCATGCTTGTGTGAACTAAGTTTGATATATCACTGGATGACGTCATCTTGTGGGACCACCATCGTATATGGGAGCTGCTGTTGACTGAAACATCGTTATGCAGCATGTGGCTGTATGTTGCTCTTCATTTAATTAACTTATTTAAACGTTTTTTATTATTTTATTTTATGTGTATGAGTGTTCTGCCTGCGTGTTTGTCTGTGTGCCACACATGTACCTGGTGCCTGTGGAAGTCATGAAAGGCCATCAGATCCCCTGGAACTACATACAGTTAAAGACGGTTGTGAGCAGCCATGTGGGTGCTGGGAATCAAATCCAGGTCCTCTGGAAGAGCGGTCACTCTCTCTAGCCCCTGTGTGCTGCCCTTTAATTTGTAGTATGAAATCTGAAAAGTAGGGGTCTTATCCCACTTGAAAAAAAAATGAGAAAACTGAGGCTTGCAAGTGATAGAGTTATGAATTAGGACTCCAGAGTCTATGCCCTTTCCAATATTTGCTCGATATGGCCCCGACCTCAGGAGGCCATCCTCACCCAACTCGGCGATCTCAGTTGAAGTCACTGCAAGAGCAAGATAGGAGATGGGCAGAGAAGTGGTATATTGATAGTCAATATGAAAACTTAAAGGAAATCCATAGCCGGGTCTGGTGCCACATGGATATAATCCCAGGACTAAGGAGACTGAGGCAGGAGGATGGCCACAAGTTCAAGGCCAGCCTGAGCTACTTAGCAAGTCCCTGCACTGAAGGAAGAAGAAAGGAAGGAAGACAGAAAAGAAGAAAAGAGGGAAGAAAGGAAGACAGAAAGGAATAAAGGAAGGAAGCGAGGAAAATGCTCACATTGGGACTGATGGTAGAAAGACATGGACAGAGATCTTACCAGGTGTGATGACATAGGCTTTTAATCCCAGGAAGCAGAAACAGAGAGATTTCTAAGAGTTTGAGGCCAGCTTGGTCTAGAGAGCTAGTTCCAGGCCAGTTAGAGCTATATAGTAAGAGCCTGTCTCAAAATGGGAGTTGGGGGGGCCAAAGGAAGAAGAAAAAAGAAAAAGAGATGCCACCTACCGTCACAGAAACTGATTCATGGGATACAGAGTAGCAAATAAAGGATTGATGGAACCAATGCCCTAAAACCCCAAAATAAAAACCAGTGTCTTTATTCAGAGTTGAGTGGTAGATCATGTCCAGATAACTGAGTGAGATGAATAAATCAATGTCCCAATTCAGGATCAATGTCCCAATCCAGAGGTGGATAGGAAAAGAAGTGAACATTCCCCATGCAGGAATCAATACCTCAGTGAAGATCTGCTTGAGGTCATCAACATCCCACTTGGGGATCAATGTCCCAGTACAGAGTGGGTGGAGAGGAATCAATGTCTTGCCATAAGAATGTGTAAGGATGTCAGCATCCCAGTGTAGAGATCAATGCCCCAATTCAGAGTTGGTTAAGGGAAATTGATGTCCTAGTGTGGTGATCAATGCCCCAATATCAGGATCAATGATGGTCAATGGTCTATAAGGATGAATGTAAAAGCCAATGTCCCAATGTGAAGTTGATGGTAATCCAAGTCCTGCTATAGCGAGGGTGACTGTTCTTGTCCCAGTGTAGACCCCCACTTACTAATATAGTAAACAATAGGATCCATTAGC